TGGCTGTTATTGGCTCTCAGCTAGGTGGACCCGATATTTCGGTAACAAGGCTGCATTGCAAAGGAAAAAATGTCTCCACTGTGTATTTTCATGCAAAGATGAGACAGTCGGTCGGTGCTATCTCTCGCTCTGTCTCGCTTTCAGTGAAGCAATGGCATGTGCAGCTCTGGGGATTCGGGTCCTGAGGTTCCCCTCCTCCCCCCGCGAGCAGCTTCGCAAAGAGCTTTTTATAGCACACAGAGCAGATCCAAGCTTGGGGCTTTCTCACTCTCCTCGTCGGCTTCACTTTAGTGGCTGAGTCCGCCTGTCCGTCAGTAAAGGGCAAATTTAGTACGGGTACAATTAACAAGAGATATTAACCCAACCGGTAAAAACCAAATAAATAAAAAAAGCAGCCCCAAATACTGTGACACAGAGCTCGAAGGGCACCGATCTCGGCTTACAGCGGCAGGGGAGGAGGGACGGGTGCCTACGCTTGCACCGCACGCGGTGTTGTCCAGAGGAATGACTGAATGACTGAATGAATGAATGAACGAACGAGTGAATGGCGGGAGCCGGGAAAAGAATGAATGGGGCCCCGCTGCGCAGCCACACGCCGCCCGCTCAGAATGAATGAACCGCTTGCCCGACGCTGCGCCTCAGCGCCGCACCGGGGCGCTGTTGCCCTGCAGTGGCGGAGGCGGCGGCTGGAATCCCCCGGCCCCGCACGTGTCCGGGGCTGAGGAGGCCGAGCGCCGCCAACGCTAGATGTCACCTGGAGGCAGCAGTGGCGGAGGCTGCTGCTGTGGCTGGTGGGGGAGGGGGCGAGGGGAGGCTATAAAAGTAACTCTCCGCGGCACGTGCACACTTCAGGGAAACTTCGGAGCCCGGCCGTGGCCGTGAAAGGCGCTGGGGTAGCCTGCGCCACGCCGGGCACCTTCCGTCTGAGCCGGGCGGGCGGATCCCCGAGGGCTGCAGGCGAGCCCCCTCCTTGTCCCCCCTCCCGCCCCAACGTGGCCCTGGGATGTTGGGATAGTGAGGCTGGGGCGAGGAGGAGCAGCATGAGAGGCAATGGGAGCGGGCTGAACGCCTCCCACCCGCCCGCGGAGCTCAGCCTGGACCGGCCCGCCTGGGTGGCTTCCACTTTGGCCGCCATCCTCATCTTCACCATCGTGGTGGACGTCCTGGGCAACCTGCTGGTCATCCTGTCCGTGTACAGGAATAAGAAGCTGCGGAACGCTGGTAAGGGCGGGGTGGAAGTGCACGGGGGAGGGGGCTTGGCTTGGCGGGAGGGCAGAGGAGGGGGCCTTGCCTGCAGCCCTAGCGCCTTCCTTCTGCACCCCAGCCTCCCTGCTTCATTCAGGCGTCGGGCGCTGCTAGCCAACAGCTGTCTCCCGCGCCAACCCGATGGGCACAGAAAGTTGGGACCCCGGGAGGGCTGGTCCTCATTGCCTTGGCGCTGAGGCGTGGGAAGTTTGTAGCAAACGCGATGCCTTAGGACCCGAGCCTCCGGCCAACCCCCTTCTGCAGAGCTATTTTTAACCGGCCACAACGAGGTTTTCTAGCTGTTGTATTCTGCTCGTTTGTAGATAAAACTGGGGATCGGGGTTTAAAATTCACTGCCAGACCGCGGATACAGTATGTGACAGATGCCCAAAGCGGCGTGTTTCACGGCAAATCAGCGCTCAAAGCTCTCTGATGTGTATTTTTAGCAACTGCAACCAAACCGTGGTGCTATTTAAAGCTTTCGTTCAGTAAAAGTGTGAGCCGGTATAAAAACAAACAAACAAGCTGTGTTTTGCAATGGAATGAAATATGGAGGGAGGGAGGATGCCATAGCATGTAGTAGTATGTGAACCGTCCAGATGTCACGCTGCTGATCTCTAAGTTTAATATTATTTAATACATCTCTCTGCATAAAATAACAGGGTTGTGACATCAGACAAAGTCAAAAGGTTCAGTTATGGCTGATGCATAATTCAGAATAAATGAAGGCACAATGTTGATGAGCATCTCTCTTTGTTCACCAGTTACTTGCTGTTTACTTCTTTTAAAGGCTGAAACCATTTGTCAGAAAACCAGATTTAGGCACGCCTCAGAAAAGTGGATTTTTGACAGGATAGGATCTGTGACGGGCTATTGAGTAAATCCCTCTTAGGGCTTGTCTACACTACCGCGGTAGTTCGACGGCTGGCAATCGAACTTCCGGGTTCGATTTATCGCGTCTGGTGTGGACGCGATAATTCGAACCAGGAAGTGCTCGCCGTCGACTGCGGTACTCCACGTCAGCGAGAGGAGTACCGCGGAGTCGACGGGGGAGCCTGCCTGCCGTGTGTGGACCGCGTCTGAACCGCGGTAAATTCGAACTAAGGTATGTCGACTTCAGCTACGTTATTCACGTAGCTGAAGTTGCGTACCTTAGATCGAATTGGGGTGTTAGTGTAGACCAGGCCTTAGTTTACTGATTATTGGTCCGACAGACAGGAACTTCTCCTTCAGCGGCGTTCTGCTTTATCACGTCAGACCAGCTGCTGCGCACGTGTACCAAATCTGTGCACTCAAAACCCTTTTGAAACTTTCATGGGAGAGAAAAAGAAAAAAAAAGGGAATATATGCAGGGAGCTGCGGTGCTAAACAAAACAGGACTGTGTGTTGCTATTTTTTCCACCCCCTAAACTATTATAAAGGATTGGCTCCTATTATTGATGAATGGCCTGCAGAATTTCAGTGTTAACTCCACAGAAGTCAGCTGAGAGATTATTAGACTGACTTGAGACTGGTGTGAGAGAGGAAGCTTGGTTTTGAATCTTGACAACTGCTATGTAACTGTTCTCTGTTTGCATTATAAATCTAACTGACATGGAATAAAAGGTTTCATGGTCACTTTCTAACTAAGGTAATTAAAATGGTTTATAGTTTTAATTTCAAGGAATGTCAATAAGCATGATTAAAATGAAGGCAAACTGGTTTTCTTACGTAGTTATCACTGATCTAAAATGTAGATACTGGAGCTTTCTGTCACTTGCCTTGATGTAAATAAAGAGTACTTCCATCAAAACCAAAAGTGGTGTGAGATCAGCATCAGAGTCTAGAATTCCAAGTCAAGCTGAACTTTGTCTTGCCATTTTTTTCTCATGTAGACTTTTCTTTTTATCCTAGGGATTTTTGTTGTTGAAGTAGGTGTATATTTGTAATGGGTCTATGGGTGAGAGTTAATGGATTTAGATAAACCCCAATGTTAATTCACATGCCTCAGTTCTTCTCTTGGGAATCTGAAGTCTAGAGATCCATAGTAACAGAACCACACAAAATATAGTGATGTGTACCCAAGAGTAGAATTGAATCCTTAGATGCTTATATCTATATTTGTTCTGCTTTAGCTCTCAGCACATCCCACTCACATTCTCACAAGTGCTCACTTGTCACATTTCTCACTCTCTGCCTTTTTCCTTCTCAGTGGCTATTGAGAACTGCAGCAAATTATAACATAGAGGCAAGGCCAGAGAACGTTCTTGGGATATTGAATTGTATTAGGCTAGGTTGTGGGACAGATACTGCTGTAATTTAACTAAGAAACCGGTTTCATAGCAGGAAATAATTCATATTATGTTTTAGGATAGAATTTAATAGTAAAACAAAGTAGTTTCCTAGGAGATAAATTAAAACTTCTGTCCTGTAAGAAAAACTTTGAATACTTTGATGAAAGAAAATTTATGGACTTCAGGATCTTGGGAAACATAGAAAATGGTTAAACAAACAAATCTTATAATCCTCATACAACTAATTTGTAACTTTTTAGGCCCCACCCAGCGAAAATGTAAGCAGGTGCATAACTTTAAAGATGTGTGTAGCCCCATTGAACATTACATTGAGTTCAGTGGGACCACTCATGAGTAAAGTTATGAATGTGTGTAGGTATTTCCAGGATCCAGGACTTATATTATTTTGAGCAGGGGAAGGAGGATTTTCTTTAATTTTTTGCTGTTAAATCAGGATATTTAGGAACAGGCTAAACTTTAAATGTCATACATCTTATTTGTAATTTATTAATTATAAGGAAAGTTGCAACTATTTGCAGAGCCATAATGAGAAAAAAACTTCTGATTTTGCAGCATCACATATTAATAAGTCATTTGCTGACACATTCATTGAGGAAAAAAGGACACAGGCTGAAAATTCCACCTGAAACAGGTCAGGGAGGAACAGAAGATGCCTCCTGAAGAATATGTATTTCAATGAAGATTTCTCTTCCTTCTCTGAAAAAGAGGACAAACTGAACTATGGAATATTTAACATTGTACCAAAACAGGTGGATGTGGTAGGGGAAAATATCTTGCGTCTCCATCTCTCTATTTTTTATATATATATATATATATATATATATATATATATATATATATATATATAAAAAACACATATTTTTTTGGGAAGATAACTACAAAGTCGATCCGGGGACGTCTTTTATTGCTAAAATATGCCCTGGGGAATAGTAGAAAACCTAGAAAAACCTTCACAAGAAGTGGTATCACCTGCCTGCCAGTCAGAAGGTTAGTGAGGTACTGTGATCAAAGCAAAGGAGTCAGTATCTCAAAGAAGCTTTGTCTCAGCAAGCGAGGAGTGTCTGATACACCAGACTCCTTCATAGTCACAGACGTGGCTTCAGTAGATGCTCTTCTAGACACAGAAGCCGATGATGCAACTGGTAGGAGCCTCTTTTATTTAATGTACTTGACTGTAATGAGTTTCATAGTTCTGACTTATTGTTATGGTGATTTTTATGATCCAACATACTACTAGGCCGAGTTCAGTCATGGTGCAAGCAGCTGTGACCCAGGTTGCATTGGCTTACATCAGGGCTGAATTTGACTCCTGATGTCTTTTAACTTTGACACACATTTAATGGGAAACATTCAAGGCATAAGGATTTTGATGTTTTAAGTCTTGACCTGATGTCCAGATAGGTGAAACTTTAGTAAACCATTCATGTGCTTGCTTTCTTCTCATTTTTTTATAAATAGGTTCAGTATAAATCATGGAATGTGTTTCATGATTCTTTGTTAATGCTTATAAATTCTTATAATTCTTATCCGCTTATGCTGATAAATTCTTTTAATAAAAGTCCTGAATTGAAAAATTAAAGACACAGATTTTTGCTCTGTTGCTCTGCTCAATGTTGCAAAGTCTAAAGTGACTTAGGCTCTTAAGTGCCTAAGGCCCAGATTCTCAAAGGTATTTAAATTCTGAAATCGGGGGAGTTAGGTGCCTAAATAGCTTTTGAGGCTCTGGGCCTAAATCACTTGTGAATATGAGACTTTGACTCCTGAGTCACTTAGGCCTTTCAGCGCTGAGTAGAGCAATGCTTAAATAGTTTAAAAATCTGGGCCAAAGTGACTAGCCTCAGGGAAGGTAAGTGGGGAAAAACAGATAGTTTTCACAATATCGCATAACGTTATTACTAAAGAAGCAAAATATTCGAGCACCTCAGTGAATTTAGAAAGCAGGTAACTTAAAGAAGTTTATAAAATGTTATAAGTAAGAATTCATACGATTGACTGTCCTTATGCCTTCCTTGTTCTCCTTGTCAAGAAAACAATGCATCAAGAACAAGGCGATGAAGCAGTTGTAAAAATTAGCTTATCACGTGGTAAGTTAAAAATGATTTCTCCCCTATTAGGACCTCATTCTGCACTGTTTGCATACGCACAAAACAACCATTGTAATCACTGGGAGCTTTGCATACACAAGGATGAGGTTTGGGACCTTATTAGTTAATAAAGGGAGCTGCTTTCAGTCGTCTTATCCCTCTTGAGCTTCTTTCTCTTCCCCTTCTAAACTGTATTATTTGGGCCAAGTTCATTGGTTTTAGCATGGCTACTTGGCAGAGCCAGCATAAAGGAGTCATAAAGTGGTCTTAAGAGCCACCCACTGAATTCCTGGGGAGCCTCCACTCCTCACCCTCTTCCACAAGCCAGAAGTGTGACCAGGCCTTTCCTACCCCTGGCCTATTTCTGGCGGTTGGAATGACTCATCCTGGTCATTGATGGCTGTGCACTCAGCTTCTGCTCAGGGATGAATTTGGTCTTTTATACACGTTAGATTCAGCCACTGATTTGGGAAACTGAACAAATACCAGCATGTCTATTACCAACAAACACTATTGTCACTAGCTAAGAGTGCAGAAAAGAGGTTCTGATATTGATACAGCTCCAAAGCCCTGAGACAGCAAGGTAACAGGCTTATTC